GTACAGGCCTGGGGAGCTGCACCAGAGCCCCCCACCCCCACAGTGCAGCCCCCCACTGCTATGCCAACAGCTGTGCCCCGCACCCCGGTTCTCCCTGCCCTGGGATTCCCACAGCACCCGCCTCACGGGTATTCCCCCAGACGGAACTGTGATGTCCCCTCACCCTGACCTCCCCTGCAGGCCTGTCCCTCCTAGCCCAGCTGAGCTCGCCGCCTTCACTCCGAGCTTTTTAAGCACAAGATCGCTTTTTGAATTAATGTGCAATCCAGGATCTACCTCAGACCCAAATATCCCAGCCCCGCCTCCTTCGCGCCCCTTTTCTGATGCCCTCCCCCTGCTCACTCCCTTCTCCTTCCTCCCTCCCTTTCACCAGGCTGGGGCAGCGGGTTGGAACACAGGCTCTGGTCTTGGGCTAAAAGCTTTGAAGTGTGAGAGGGGCCCTGAGCTGAGCCTGGGGCAGGGGGTTGGGGTGCAGGAGGGGGTTCAGGATACAGGCCCTGTAAGGGAGTTTGGGTTCAAGGGGCTCAGGGCTAGGACAGAGGCTTGGAGTGGAGGAGGGGGTTCACGACTGGGGCCGGAGTTCGGGATTCTGGCTCCAGCTGGACACTGCTTACTTCTGGTGGCTCCTGGGTGCTGGGGCCGTGGGGCTAAGGCAGGTTCACCCCTGCTTCCCCCTGCACCACTCTCCAAAGCAGCCAACAAACTCCTTCCATCCCAAGCCCTGTTGTGTCCCCATCCATTCTGTGGAGATCGAACGCAGGGTGGGAAGGGGGGACCCTGACCTCAGCGCCCCTCCTCTCCCTCCCCTGCTCTGCACAGCAAGCAGACAGCTCTGGGGGGCGCAGCGCCAAGGCAAAGGGCAGGAGATGAGCAGCAGAAGGGGGAGGGGCAGCTGAAGTGCCGGTACTTGGTAGCCTCTTGCTCAAACCAGTCAGGATCCCGTCAGAAACTCCAAGATCGACCAGTCGATCCTGAGCGTCTGGCTGGTGACCGGTGCCCACTGCTTTACCCTGTCCCTCGGCCAAGAGGGCTGCAGAATTTACAAGCAGCAGAGAGACAGAGAGAATAAA